CGATGAGCCCAGTTTTGTAATTAGGGTTATGATGGCGCCTTCTCCAAATATTAGTTGTAAAAATTCTACTTTGTATGACTTTTTTAGATGATCAAGTGCTAGTAGTTCTATTGACTACTTTAATTTATCACGCGAACGTGTGGTTTGAAATTTTGCGGGTTCATATTCGGTTGCTGTTTTGCCTTGGCTGTTTTTGATCCGTATCCGAAGACAGACGCGAACTGTAAACGCACTATAAAGGTCCGCCGTGCGAGACTGGCCTCTGGATCGACCTCCTCCGTGCGAAATATTTCCCGCATGGGGATTTCTTCGACGCGGCCTCTCGGGGGTCACCCTTTTGGAACTCCATTCAATCCCTCAAACCCTTCTTCGCCAGGGGCGCGAAGTTTGGGGTTAACAATGGACGCTCCACACGCTTCTGGCTAGATCTTTGGATTGGCCAGCGGCCTTTATGGTCGGAGTTTCGCCAACTCTACTCCATAGCAGTCGAGCCCGACCAACTGGTTGCTTCGGCTCTTAGCTCCTCCCCACCCTGCATTAATTTCAGGCGCGAACTAACGGGGCCGGAGTTGGCGGATTGGGATCGCCTTCGGGCTTTGATTGCGGATGTCCGCTTGTCGGATTCCGCAGACACGATCACTTGGAGGCTTTCGGGCTCTGGCAAATTCTCTGTCAATTCCCTATACAGAGAGCTCTCCCGCGGCCAGATCCCGTCGGCGGCCACGGGGCTTTGGAAGGCTAAAACCCCCCTCAAGATCAAGGTCTTCCTCTGGCAACTTTGCCAAGATCGCCTTCCTACCTCTATTAACCTTGCTAAACGCAATGGCCCCGCCTCCGGTCCTTGTGCGTTGTGCGGGGCCCCGGAAGATGCTGACCACGCTTTCTTCCGGTGCTCTTTGGTTCGTTTTGCCTGGAGCGCGGTCCGTGAGGCCGCGGGGGTGGATTGGGATCCACGCTCCCGATCCGAGCTCGTGTCTTCCTTGTCTCTGGTTCAAGGCACGGCTCATAGGGTCATGTGGACTTGTGCGGCGGCCATGTTATGGGCTATTTGGAATATTCGTAACAAGTTTACTATTGAGGGCGTGTTTCCCTTGCATCCCGCTGACGTTATCTTCAAATGCATCGTGTTCTTGCAGCAATGGGCTCCGCTGGGAAGACAACAGGACTCTGATCTCCATCGCCAAGCTATTTGTCGTCTACGCTCTGTCTACTCCGAGTCTCGAGCTCCGTCGTCCGCTCCATTGGCTGCCGCATAGGGATGGGCAGCCCCTTTTGGTCCTAGTAGCATCCGAGCCTGCGTGCTCGTTTTGTTTGGCCGATAGCGCCTTGTAACGCACTTTATTCGCTCGTTTCGCGGCTGTTTCCTGAACCTAATCGCTCTTTGTCTGGCGACCTGTGTTGGTCCTGTGGTTGTGATACTCTGCCTAAGTTGAGGGCTTTATTAATTTAAAGCCGGACGTCCCTGACGTCTATGTTCTAAAAAAAGGTCCGCCTTATAAAGAGTCTGCTAGAGATGCTCTTAAGTTGTTAGTAATTCCAAACAAATTTGAGCAGTCAAGTTCTTTATTTTAGCCATGTATTTCTTATTCATACCATACATATTTATTTATATTTTAGTAATGTACTTATTTATTTTAGCTGTATGATGGCGCTGACACAATCATAGAACAAGTAATTAATGGGCCAGCAGATTCAAAAAAGAAAAAGAAAAACATCAGAAACGCCAGCAAATCAAGCATTGCAGACACTTGGATCAAATAAGGGAAGCTGTGCTATAATCAACTTCAATTAATGTTCCGCAAATAACAGAGTTTCTTAGCCCAGTCAAAATAGCCCCATGCAAAGCTACCGTCGTAAAGTTGTTACTAGCCAAAGCCCTCAGCATCTGCACTTGTCAATTCATTTCTAAATGGATAGTAATACAAAATGTGTATGTTTCCTAAATAATTTCTGGGGCTTCAGAGTGGTAGTTGGGTGGTTTAGGGCATCTGAGCACCACATTGCACAGTTAGATCTGCACAATTTCAGAACTTCGAGCAGAAAGAATGTGGGAGAAGTATGGATGTGTGTGGACTTTGACAGCCTATTTGCAACTGTCGACTTGGGAAAACAGTCCTTCAAAGCTGCCTGACAGCTTGGCCGCAGCCCCTTCTACCCTTTGATAATCCTGACATTAAGAAAAAAAAAAAGATTCTGTCAGAAATACTACGACATCGCCAAGCATACTATCATCAGTCCTATGTCAAAAGCCACTATGATAATCGTGACATTAAGAAAAAAATATTCTGTAAGAAAACTACGACATAGTCAAGCATACTATCATCAGTCCTGTGTGAAGTCATCCGTTTGGGATGCTAGAGCAGTCAATAGCATAGTTCCGTGACATAATCAGTTCTCCCCATACACACTTGGTTCGAGATTACAGATTGTTTTTCTTCGCAAGAATATTAAGGGATGTAATAATATACACTATCAGCTCCTATCGTTATTTCCTACACAAGAGCCCATATAACAGAGCACCAATTTTCCCCACTAGCGTGCGGCTAGAATTTTAAATACTCCCTCCGTTCACTTTTGTAAGTCGTTTCAGACAACTTAAAATGAACTGTTTTGCACATTGTCTGAAAGTCTTCAAGGTCTTATAAAAGTGAACAGAGGGAGTAACATTTATGAATGCTTAGTGGAAAAGGAAGGACTCTGCTGCAAAGAGTAATACTGATACCTTTCCAATAAGACTCACAACCAACGGACCCGTTCTTGAAATCCGATGAGACCCTACATATCCAAAACGTCAATCAACAATAATCAAATGGGACTACAACGTAAAGATAAATGAACTATTTTCCTTGGTGATTAACTAGATAATTAAACTAGAGCCTCCTATTACAGACATCATACCTATGTACACATCAGAAAACTCCAAGCATAGCTTTGCAACCACCGGAGCAATTTTGACCTGAATAAGCATACCACAAACCCGAATTAGATAAAGACTGAAATATTCTTTATAACATTTAAGCCTCAAAGTTCACTTTCGATAAATGACAAGAAAATTGAATACCGAACACAAATGTAAGTATCCTACTGTAACCACCATGACGGCACCACTGGAACTGTAGAGTCAATCCCCAGTGTAAGGGTAAAACATAGTATAAAGTTGAGACACTTATTTTGGGACGGAGGGAGTACATAATAATAAGTTAAGCAGAGCGCAATGGAAGTCATGAACATAATGTTTCGTCAAATATAAATTGTTGAAATAAAGTGATTATCACTAAAGACATATGCAGTTTTCTACATAAAGGTCTACGTGGACACAAAGTTAGTTTGCAACCATGAATATCGGTAGAGCACTTGTAGAATACTCTCTGAGTTTGTAACAGTAAATACATGGCAGTCTGGACACAGGTACAGCTTCCAACATGCAACTTTGATGGGTACTTCCCATTTTCATATGTTAGTAAACGATTATAAAATTATTATAGTAAAAAAGGGCAGCCCGATGCACGTAGCTACCGCTTGTGCAGGGTCCAGGGAAGGGTCCGACCACTTTGGGTCTTTTGTACGCAGCCTTTCACTACATTTCTGCAAGAGGCTGTTTCCAGGACTCGAACCCGTCAAGGCAACAGCTTTACCACTGCGCCAAGGATCCCCTTCTTATAAAATTATTGCGGTGTAAAAATATTTTTCACGGCAAACCTAATAATACTATTTCACTTGACCCACATATATGTTTTACATATGCTATGAGTCAAAGTTCCAGAAGTGGATGCACGCTTTCTAGGACATCGATGTATTTACTAATCGAGATAGTAGTTTTCAATAACAGATTTATAATTCACAACAAAAAAGAACATATTTAGAAAAGACAAAGATGAATACATCTGGGAGTAAAGTGCTGAGATGTTTTGATACAAAAGGTTTCGTCCTCAGTAAACCACTCTCTTGGGTATCCAGAAGACAATTCCACTCCATGTCCAGTTCATCCACATTAGTTGCAGAAAGAATGATCACATTCTTGCATTTGATCTGCATAGGAAGTTATCTTTGAGTCAAATGAAAAAAGGGAGTGTGTGCTAGCATGTTTTAAAACGCAATCTGAGCACTCCTTGCAGGTAGGACTAGGCATTTTCAGATCAATGCTAATTGAAGGCCAGACTTTACGTTCAGTAACAATGATTAATATTTTAGACATAAGTATGTCTTGTTTCCCCGGATAATTGCCTTTCACCATTTGGTTTGAATATCATTTTCTCATCTCTTTTGTCCAATGTGTTCTCTCATGAAATGTTGACCAAACCAAACCTTGTGGCAAAAGGGAAATGAGGTTTTGAACCACATATGATAGTTTTGCAGAATCTAGATCTCTATGAAAGGCAAAAAAGAGGCACCAAATATTTCAGTACCGATCCAAAAGAAATGCACCAAGAAAACAGAACATACCAGTGGCAATGGGAGCATCTTGTGATGTAATAATTCGGTAATACCTTCTGGCAACAAAGCCATCTGAAGAGAAGTGGAAACGAGTTAAATTATGAACTGCAGTTTGTACTTAGCCCAGAATAAGCATACACATGCATATATATTCAATTTCAATAGATCTGATTAAATCCAGATTACCTCATTTCGATTACCAATGTAACTGTTCCCTATGAGTTGACTAAGATGCTCCTCAAACTCTTCATCAGGAGCCTCCATAAATGAAAAGCCAACGTTAGTTGATGCAAGGAAATGACATTTTACCAGGGGAGATTCATGAAACAGCCATTGGCATATAACAACAATTCATGGATATGCAGTTTTTACATTTGATGGTGCTGGGACAAAATGATTTCTTGCTATAGTAATAGTGCAACCCTATCAGTCAACACACAATATTTTCTTAGCTAAATAACAAACAAAATGCAGAAATCACACCCAAGTGCAAGAACAGCAGGATTTATACACACAAAACAAACAAGCATGAATTAATAATATAAGAAGTCATTTAGCAGCACGGAAATGTTAATGAACGCACCAGGTGAACTCCAAATGCTTTTGCAACACCAGCCAATGAAACATCTGAATGTAGAGGCCCAAGTCCCCCAAAAATAAATACCTGTACAATATCAATCACATCACATGCCAAACTTGAAAAGGTTTAAAATGCAAAAGCCTACAGAAACTAACCACGTCGTCAGTAGATTTACACCGTTCGACTTCCTCGGCAACAGAATCAATCTGCAATGCAATCACTTATGTGTCCATTAGATTTAAATGAAAAGAAACATGACAAAGTCGGAGCTTAATAGTACACTTGGTAACAATACTGCAGCAACCTATATGTGCACAATTGAGCTACCATATAAAAGATGTAGGACATACGGCTAGCCGATCCATTATATACAACTTACTTCATTGTGAACAACCGTGACATGAGAAACTCGCCAGCCAATTTCATGAAGCTTCTTGCACAAGGCTGCGCCAAATTTATCCTCAACTGTGCCAAACCTGAATCACAAAAATGAATGAATGTCTATTTAGTGTATAAAAGACAGTATCCACAAAAAAAAATGCCCAAGCCTGGTCATCAATCAAGGATAATCAATGAAGTTTACGAAACTGAGCCAAAAATGAAACAGGAACACACTTCTAACAGTAATAAATAAGCCTTGTATCAAATATACTTCGGATTATGGGATAACTGGTTACACTTGTATTGAGTTAAATGATCAAGCCGCATTCTCTTAAGGCAGACAAATGGGCTACAATCCTTTCCTGATTCTTTTATTACTATACAATAATTTGTTTTGCATCAAGTGGCTGGGGAAGTATAACAACACTAGTGTAAAAAACACTCTTATATTATGGGACGGAGGGAGTAGCATTTATCTAAAAGGCAAGGCAAAGAAGAAAAGGAATTTGCAAAGATATCACATAAACTTCAACGATCATAAAAAAGACCAGGATGAAGCAAATGCAAGACTAAGCATCATGTAAGTATGAGAGATTACTCACAATATTTCATCACCAACTACAATAACTGAAGCCGAACGTGAGATCATTTGCTCTCCCTCAGCATTGTTCATGCCATTGCTTGCAACAGAATTAGTTTCCGTTTTGTTGCTAGTCTTCTTCGCTCTCCCAGCTCTTTCAAGTCTTCCATCTGATAGCATGTATGCCGGTCTAAAGCTGTTCCCAGTAGATGAATCACTAAGAAGTGCATTTGGAACAGTATCATATATGCTCCCAATGGATGTATACCTGCAATGAGGGCAAGCACACAAAAACTCAATACAAATCAGGAAGTTCAAATTAGATCTCAAGAGTACTTTGCAACGGCTTAAAATTTAAGGTGGTGTTACACAATGAGCTGAAGTGCAGAAACAGAAGTAGCAAATTGCTCATCAAAAGGTAGACCAAGTACTTTCCTTTTAGAGATTTGTTTTAGAACAGCAGTGCAAAAAACTACATTTTGACCTATAGACTACACATGATGAAACATAAGAGCAAATATACAATTGAAGGTCCGAAAATGGAAAAGAACCCACCCCTCATCATAAAGGCTGCAGTATTTGACCTTACAGGTTAAGAGGAAAGACCAAACATCCCTGTCACAGAAAAACAATGCTCCTTACATTTGGATTAGCAGTCTACGGAACGCAAGCTTGAATTATTTACATGATCAGGAGAAAAACCTGTATGACCAATCCAAGATAGGATTCACCCTCATAAAAGGAGGCCAGCCAGGCGAACTAGGAGAGAATTGTTCTTGACCGACCTATATTTTCAAACTGAATTACTAATAGGTGCGCAGATACCAGTAAGTGTGAGAATTCTGAATGGAGATGGGCACAAGTACTGTATATAATAGGTTTGCGGAGACTCGAAGAATAATTGAACAAGGTACAACAGAATTACCGCATTTGGATCTCCAATTCTAGTGCCAATGAAAATGGCTTTAGTAGACTTCTCTTTCAATAGGCCTTCTAGACCAGATTTGAAATCTGATCGGATAGTTTCCAGTGGCAAACCATAACTAGCATAGAGGAGAAAAAATAGAATGAAATATCCTTCATTTCACTTCTCAAGAATAGCAAAAAGAATGAAACAAATCCTAGTGGGTTCTTACGTTGAGACTGTTTCATAAGTGAATGAGTTGATTTCAGGGAAAGCACAAGGGGTCTCGAAATAGATTGTACGCAGCGGACAGTTTTGAACAGTATTGATTTGAGCTTCGTCCCCAGAACTTGTTTTGTGAAGATAGTAGCCTGCCCGTATTAAATGCAAGAGTACCTAATGATACAAAACACTGATATCTTGTCAAAACTTACAAACAGATGTTAATTATCACCATGGCATACAAAAAAAAAGATGAAGAGAAGAGAATGTAAGATATTACGGTTGAATCCTTCCCGCCATTAAAGCTGAAGGCAATCTCCTCAAACCTGCAAAAGTGAAATTACTGGGAAATTAGAGACTTCGACTTGAACAGTATCCAATATCCATAACGAGTCTTGGTACTCAATCCCCAGATTAACACCCAAGCATCCAGCGACAGGACAAACAAAACCTTTTTAAAAACCACAAGGAGAACAAAAAAGCTTCAGACTATTAATATACATTTTGAGAACAGGCTTTACAAGTGGTTTGAACATAGTGTAATAGTGTGTCCATACTGGTTAGATCGGGCCCTTTCATCATGAGAGAAAACTGGATACAGTGACATGCATGATATATGATGGGTGTTTATGCTCCTGAAGGATTTAACTGATTTATTTCCCTTTCCTCGTGAAAGAAACATGATTGCAGTGACCCTTAGCAACTTGAGTGATAACTGGAGAAGTATCGGAAACCTCTAAATACATTACTCCTTTGATCTTCCCGCGAGCAATCTACTAGTTTCCATTGTTTCAGGGTACAGGTTGTTAACTCATCCACATAAACCACTGGCCTAATCTTCTAATGGAACCGACAAAAGAGAGTTTATGATAGGCGAATCCAGCACCAATTATTTGGGATTAACGACTAAACAATGCTATTCTGCCAGCAAATCTGAATTACATGGATCGCCTCAAAGGTGAAGATCGCAGCATATTTTCGGATGCAAAAGCAGAGATGAAAACCATTACTGACTGACGCAACCACCTCTCTATCAGGTAGAGGTGCGTTTGCGGCAGGGGAAAATACAAGTGCGCACAGAGACAGATAGCACATTGGAGGTAAACAGCCGCAGAGCAAGCAACTTAAGATCTAACCAGTCTGCCCCAACTCAATCCTCCTGCGGACTACGGAGTAGGAACCTACCCATCCGCCGATG